CTGAAAATCAATTGATTTTGGGCTGATTTCAATCAACTGTTTACCCCTTTGAAAAATACCATAGAAACTAAAAAAGTAAAAAGCTTGACCGATAGGTACGAGCACAAATGAAATAATAGAACATGTCAATCTTAAATAATGCTTTCTTAGGCTGTGATTGAACCCTAATCAAAAACAATTATTCACATTCAAATTAGGAGCACCTCCGCTATCCCCACGATTATAGATTATTGAAAATTATTGGGGCGGATTTTCCACAGAAAACGCTCACCTTTCATTAAATAAAATCTTTGAATTTTAAAATAAAGACTAGTTTGAAAATTAGACAAACTTTTTAATTTTAAATTCTTTAACATTTTCACAAAATTTAAACTATCTTTCTGGACACGTACAATTTTCGACTTGTCTATCGTACTTTTACACGAACGCTGACGCATACAGCAGCTTAAGAACCAGATCCAGATCCACATCATACTGTTTCACCATACGGCGACATGTTCTTTAATACACTCCATAGGTACTTAACCAGTCAACATCCATTCACGAACACAACTGTAGAAAAAAAGCGATCTCGATAAAAGTAGAAAAACTTATAAATACGGTGATAAACCGATTTTTATCCGAACAAATTGCCATAAAACTTTTATCCCGATTATTAGGGGATGCATCGTGATGAAATCGATATCTATTTATGCAAGAAAAATGACTCAAATTAACTGAAAAAATGTTTCTCTATGAAATGGGATCGAAATCAAGGAAAATTGAATCCCATTTTTATTATTCTATCGACGTAAACACGTTTTAAAACATTTGCAGAGAAAAAACGTCTTTCATGAAGTTTCCGGTTCTCTAAAGAATGTATGGTTATCTTCATTTCATCTCCATTGAGATCCGTCTATATCACTGAGTGTTAACTAAATTATATGCAATCGTTACGATTTTATTCACGAACGATGCGTCTTCTCCCCATCATCAAATGTAACGAGAAAAGAAAATAGATTTGCTATGACGTAACTCAATATAAATTACTGTAACTGTTTTCCCAAAAAGAAGCAAAAAGGTGCTGCTCAGATTCAGAATTCCCGGCACCTTGATTTCAAATCTGAAAACTTGTGGAAACCGATGTATTGCAACATTATTTTTCCTCTTCTTGTAATTTCAACGCGAAAAAAATATAAGTAACTTCAACTATTTCGTACAAACATTAAAAAAAATTTAGAATAGAAAAAGGTGCACAAATACTGTTCGTGAGTTAGGACTGAGTAAATATTTCTATCACAACATGTAAAAAAAACTGTTCTTGAAATACACCAAAAATATCCTACTAACTAACTTGAAAAAACGATAACCGAACTATTTCTAAAGCAAGATCTGTAAAAAGAGAGTCGCACTGTATACAAATGCAGAGATTAAAAAGCGATCTTGAACTAATAATTAAAATATTTCTAAACTAGGAGTAGAAAATACGCACACATAAAGGAGAAGAGCCTACTGTTTCTTTCTTGGATTAATTAGTTTCGGTGCCCATGAGAGTATGGTAATAGATTTTGGTTGTACTAAAAGGTTATCAGCGTCAATTGTTTGATTTACAGGTAATTTGACTGTTGGCCATTGATATTCATAGTGGACATCGTGTGGTACAGTAAAATTACTCAAATCATGAAGAGATAAATGAATAACTTCCTGTAAACCCATATTGAATAATGTCTAAATAAACAAAGAAAACTTTGTGATGAAAACTCTTTTCTTTCTGAAATGACTGCTTTAAAAGAAACTGATTGAAAGTGAATAAGACACCTAACTCATAATGAGTCTTTTATGATTATTATTTCGGTGTAGTGGGTGTTCTACGCAAATTGTCTACTTACTACATATCCTCGATAACCTGCCGATTCTCGAATAAACCAAAAGATATCGGCTCCATTTTTTAGTGTATAACCCGTTTTTAATGAACCAAATTGAAACGACTCTTTTTCACGTAATTTCGACAGACGACGAAATAGTTGTAATGTCGAATCCTTCGGATCACCACCTAATGCTTCTTGACGCTACAAGAAGGAAACAACAAGAACTCAGCACGGTTCATATAAAGAACATTTACTTACTTTGACACTTATTTTCGTTGGATCAGTTTTAAATAGAGAATGTACCGTGCAATTTTTACATTGTGTAAAACCACCATATGGCTCCTCAGAGGTCCATGGCATCAGTGGATAATTTCGATATTGATCAGCAGATTCAGCACTCTGCAAATAACAACGAACACGTTTTACTCGATTTTAAGTACCATTTTTCTCCAATAGATGTAGCATCACACTATACTTTGAAATACTAATGTGAGAGATAAAGTTGAATATATAAAAGCTTAAAGACAGAGTATTCGCGCACTACACTGGCTATATTCTAATATAATTATTTAGAATCGCTGTCTAATTAGTTTAAAAAGTGTTAAAAATCATGAGCAAGCACTGTTAAGCCTACTTGTTCAATGGGTTCAAGTCCAATTTCTTCACCATAAAGCACAATCGGTGTACCACCAAACAGGAGACCCATTGTCAACATCATTTCACTACTAAGGCCATTCATTGAATAAATTGAACTACGCGGGTAACCCAACTAGAACAATAGAAAGTGAGAAGACGAAGACTCTAGACTGTATCTGACGTACTTGCCAAAATTTGGGAATGGTTAAATTATTATTATCTCTGATAAGTTGAAATCGTTCATGTAACTGTTTAGCCGTTATATTTTGTTGTTGATTATTTAAAATTAGTTGATGAGGTACCTGATTTAGTAATTCTAAATAAGATTTTGAGCCAACGCTAAACTCGTGTAATTGAAGCGGAATGTTAAATAGTAATAATCTAAATAAGGTGAAATCAACTCAGTCGGTCAACTATAGAGAATATTCCATTGTTTACTTTGGTTTTAATGTTAGTTTTTCTGCCTTTTTCACAATAGTCTTCCATTTATCTATTGTCACATAGGATATTGAGTAATCTTTCATCAATGGTAGATCAACTCGAACACCATCGATCTTACGTGAAGTTAACCAATAACGAAGACGATCCTAACGACAAACCAAAAATTCAATAGACGAAATTCTTATCACATAACATACCTGAGAAGTCTGTGAAACCAATTCATCATCAAAATCCAATGGTAAGCGTTTATAAAAACGGCTGTACGCGCAACCATAACTATTTCTGTCAGTATCACATAGATTCTAAACAGACAAAAGTCAACGATTTTGTTACTTTCCAATCGAAAACTGTATCTTACCCGATTAGTTTCGAATGAACGTGATGAACTATTCATTCCGTACCATGTGCCAGAATTTGAATCGTACGTCGATAATGGTAAATCAACAATCAAATGCATATCTAAACGAAATGATAAATTTTCGAACGCTGAACATTAAACATTCTAGTTTATTATCTGACTAATCCCACGTCTACAGAAAAACTCATGCATTGTGATACGTTTCTATAAGATGGCATTTACCTTTTCTTGTTAACATTTTTGCTAATGTTTGATAATCTTGATTACTACCGAATTTTGGATTAATTTCCATCAAATCAGACTCTTTCTCCGGTGTGTCAACAGACAAGGAGCGAGAAGATCGACCACCCACGGGCGGTTCAAATATAGATGATTTTAATAAAAGTGATTTTACATTAAGTTTTTCAAAATAATCTAATTTTTTCTCGATACCTAAGAAACACAAACAGACATTTCAGAAAAACTAGATATGTCTTATATATTTTCTCAAAAACAAGGCAAAGTCAAGAAGAGTAGCACTGGGAATACCGAGCCGACTGCACAACTTCGATCACCGCATAGCATACCGAATAGGAACAGTGAGTGTTTTCTTTGTCCTTTCCCTCAAAATTAAGCTTCATAGTTCCAAGTATGACCAGTTACCTTTCAAGTCTCCGATTCCATCTTGGTTGGTGTCTTGAAATGTTGGCACATATATTTCATAGACAATTTCTTTTTCATACCAGGCTAATTTTGGTTTTGGTGGACATTTTTTCGTAAACAGAACCGTTAAAATCGCAGCCACCAATAAACCTAACATGATTAAAACATACAATATACCGAGCAACCATCGCATACGTTTCCAGTACGGATCATTGATATAATCCAATAATTCCTAAACAACAATAGACTTTAAGAAATCATCTGTCAGTTTTTCTTTCCGATTGAACGTGCTTCTTTAGTTAATCCCGTAAATTGTGTTGTTTTTAATTTTTTCTTTCCGCGGTCATCTGGTCCGCTAATCACTTCTTCATCAGTAAATGAATCAATAAATTTTAATTTCGCCATATCTTCATCATTTGTATCATGAATAAATTTGGCTGCAGGGCCAAGTTTACCTCTCACCGATGTTCCATCAGCAATCAACACGTCACCCTCATCAACAACTTTGTCTAACGACATTTTTACTGTTCAATGTTTATCAAAACTAATCAAATCTGAAAAGCAAATGTAGGTTCCCCTTTCAAAAATCCATAAACGAGATGCCATTCAGTGTTTCTAATAGCAAAGCGCAGTCACCGTATCAAAGCGTACATACGCTTCGGAATGTAAAACGACTCTCTATTTTACGCTTTGTTGAGACAAGCATGATACTATCTATACTTTCACATACTAATGTGAGAGATAAAATTGAATATACAGAAACTTAAAGACACAGTATTCGCGCACTACATTGGCTATATTCTAATCTAAACACTTAAATCGCTTTGTCTAATTAGTTATAAAATGTCAAATACATTTTGGTCCATATGGTATGCAGAATGTGGTCAAAGTGCATTAACCGCAAGTATACTGATGCGTTCAAAAATTATTTTTCTGAGATTAAATTCATTGGATGGAAAAGCTGAAACAGAAAGGAAACTTAATACTACTTTAGTTCTCAGTATCAGACTTCTCCAGCCCAGTATCCTTGCCGAGATACTCACGACTCCTCAACCCAGATGCCGCCAGTTTACGGCGACAAGTACATGTTTGTCAAAGCATAGACTATAAATATGTCTTTAACGAACTTATCAGTATACTTGCGGTTAATGCACTTTGACCACATTCTGCATACCATATGGACCAAAATGTATTTGACATTTTATAACTAATTAGACAAAGCGATTTAAGTGTTTAGATTAGAATATAGCCAATGTAGTGCGCGAATACTGTGTCTTTAAGTTTCTGTATATTCAATTTTATCTCTCACATTAGTATGTGAAAGTATAGATAGTATCATGCTTGTCTCAACAAAGCGTAAAATAGAGAGTCGTTTTACATTCCGAAGCGTATGTACGCTTTGATACGGTGACTGCGCTTTGCTATTAGAAACACTGAATGGCATCTCGTTTATGGATTTTTGAAAGGGGAACCTACATTTGCTTTTCAGATTTGATTAGTTTTGATAAACATTGAACAGTAAAAATGTCGTTAGACAAAGTTGTTGATGAGGGTGACGTGTTGATTGCTGATGGAACATCGGTGAGAGGTAAACTTGGCCCTGCAGCCAAATTTATTCATGATACAAATGATGAAGATATGGCGAAATTAAAATTTATTGATTCATTTACTGATGAAGAAGTGATTAGCGGACCAGATGACCGCGGAAAGAAAAAATTAAAAACAACACAATTTACGGGATTAACTAAAGAAGCACGTTCAATCGGAAAGAAAAACTGACAGATGATTTCTTAAAGTCTATTGTTGTTTAGGAATTATTGGATTATATCAATGATCCGTACTGGAAACGTATGCGATGGTTGCTCGGTATATTGTATGTTTTAATCATGTTAGGTTTATTGGTGGCTGCGATTTTAACGGTTCTGTTTACGAAAAAATGTCCACCAAAACCAAAATTAGCCTGGTATGAAAAAGAAATTGTCTATGAAATATATGTGCCAACATTTCAAGACACCAACCAAGATGGAATCGGAGACTTGAAAGGTAACTGGTCATACTTGGAACTATGAAGCTTAATTTTGAGGGAAAGGACAAAGAAAACACTCACTGTTCCTATTCGGTATGCTATGCGGTGATCGAAGTTGTGCAGTCGGCTCGGTATTCCCAGTGCTACTCTTCTTGACTTTGCCTTGTTTTTGAGAAAATATATAAGACATATCTAGTTTTTCTGAAATGTCTGTTTGTGTTTCTTAGGTATCGAGAAAAAATTAGATTATTTTGAAAAACTTAATGTAAAATCACTTTTATTAAAATCATCTATATTTGAACCGCCCGTGGGTGGTCGATCTTCTCGCTCCTTGTCTGTTGACACACCGGAGAAAGAGTCTGATTTGATGGAAATTAATCCAAAATTCGGTAGTAATCAAGATTATCAAACATTAGCAAAAATGTTAACAAGAAAAGGTAAATGCCATCTTATAGAAACGTATCACAATGCATGAGTTTTTCTGTAGACGTGGGATTAGTCAGATAATAAACTAGAATGTTTAATGTTCAGCGTTCGAAAATTTATCATTTCGTTTAGATATGCATTTGATTGTTGATTTACCATTATCGACGTACGATTCAAATTCTGGCACATGGTACGGAATGAATAGTTCATCACGTTCATTCGAAACTAATCGGGTAAGATACAGTTTTCGATTGGAAAGTAACAAAATCGTTGACTTTTGTCTGTTTAGAATCTATGTGATACTGACAGAAATAGTTATGGTTGCGCGTACAGCCGTTTTTATAAACGCTTACCATTGGATTTTGATGATGAATTGGTTTCACAGACTTCTCAGGTATGTTATGTGATAAGAATTTCGTCTATTGAATTTTTGGTTTGTCGTTAGGATCGTCTTCGTTATTGGTTAACTTCACGTAAGATCGATGGTGTTCGAGTTGATCTACCATTGATGAAAGATTACTCAATATCCTATGTGACAATAGATAAATGGAAGACTATTGTGAAAAAGGCAGAAAAACTAACATTAAAACCAAAGTAAACAATGGAATATTCTCTATAGTTGACCGACTGAGTTGATTTCACCTTATTTAGATTATTACTATTTAACATTCCGCTTCAATTACACGAGTTTAGCGTTGGCTCAAAATCTTATTTAGAATTACTAAATCAGGTACCTCATCAACTAATTTTAAATAATCAACAACAAAATATAACGGCTAAACAGTTACATGAACGATTTCAACTTATCAGAGATAATAATAATTTAACCATTCCCAAATTTTGGCAAGTACGTCAGATACAGTCTAGAGTCTTCGTCTTCTCACTTTCTATTGTTCTAGTTGGGTTACCCGCGTAGTTCAATTTATTCAATGAATGGCCTTAGTAGTGAAATGATGTTGACAATGGGTCTCCTGTTTGGTGGTACACCGATTGTGCTTTATGGTGAAGAAATTGGACTTGAACCCATTGAACAAGTAGGCTTAACAGTGCTTGCTCATGATTTTTAACACTTTTTAAACTAATTAGACAGCGATTCTAAATAATTATATTAGAATATAGCCAGTGTAGTGCGCGAATACTCTGTCTTTAAGCTTTTATATATTCAACTTTATCTCTCACATTAGTATTTCAAAGTATAGTGTGATGCTACATCTATTGGAGAAAAATGGTACTTAAAATCGAGTAAAACGTGTTCGTTGTTATTTGCAGAGTGCTGAATCTGCTGATCAATATCGAAATTATCCACTGATGCCATGGACCTCTGAGGAGCCATATGGTGGTTTTACACAATGTAAAAATTGCACGGTACATTCTCTATTTAAAACTGATCCAACGAAAATAAGTGTCAAAGTAAGTAAATGTTCTTTATATGAACCGTGCTGAGTTCTTGTTGTTTCCTTCTTGTAGCGTCAAGAAGCATTAGGTGGTGATCCGAAGGATTCGACATTACAACTATTTCGTCGTCTGTCGAAATTACGTGAAAAAGAGTCGTTTCAATTTGGTTCATTAAAAACGGGTTATACACTAAAAAATGGAGCCGATATCTTTTGGTTTATTCGAGAATCGGCAGGTTATCGAGGATATGTAGTAAGTAGACAATTTGCGTAGAACACCCACTACACCGAAATAATAATCATAAAAGACTCATTATGAGTTAGGTGTCTTATTCACTTTCAATCAGTTTCTTTTAAAGCAGTCATTTCAGAAAGAAAAGAGTTTTCATCACAAAGTTTTCTTTGTTTATTTAGACATTATTCAATATGGGTTTACAGGAAGTTATTCATTTATCTCTTCATGATTTGAGTAATTTTACTGTACCACACGATGTCCACTATGAATATCAATGGCCAACAGTCAAATTACCTGTAAATCAAACAATTGACGCTGATAACCTTTTAGTACAACCAAAATCTATTACCATACTCTCATGGGCACCGAAACTAATTAATCCAAGAAAGAAACAGTAGGCTCTTCTCCTTTATGTGTGCGTATTTTCTACTCCTAGTTTAGAAATATTTTAATTATTAGTTCAAGATCGCTTTTTAATCTCTGCATTTGTATACAGTGCGACTCTCTTTTTACAGATCTTGCTTTAGAAATAGTTCGGTTATCGTTTTTTCAAGTTAGTTAGTAGGATATTTTTGGTGTATTTCAAGAACAGTTTTTTTTACATGTTGTGATAGAAATATTTACTCAGTCCTAACTCACGAACAGTATTTGTGCACCTTTTTCTATTCTAAATTTTTTTTAATGTTTGTACGAAATAGTTGAAGTTACTTATATTTTTTTCGCGTTGAAATTACAAGAAGAGGAAAAATAATGTTGCAATACATCGGTTTCCACAAGTTTTCAGATTTGAAATCAAGGTGCCGGGAATTCTGAATCTGAGCAGCACCTTTTTGCTTCTTTTTGGGAAAACAGTTACAGTAATTTATATTGAGTTACGTCATAGCAAATCTATTTTCTTTTCTCGTTACATTTGATGATGGGGAGAAGACGCATCGTTCGTGAATAAAATCGTAACGATTGCATATAATTTAGTTAACACTCAGTGATATAGACGGATCTCAATGGAGATGAAATGAAGATAACCATACATTCTTTAGAGAACCGGAAACTTCATGAAAGACGTTTTTTCTCTGCAAATGTTTTAAAACGTGTTTACGTCGATAGAATAATAAAAATGGGATTCAATTTTCCTTGATTTCGATCCCATTTCATAGAGAAACATTTTTTCAGTTAATTTGAGTCATTTTTCTTGCATAAATAGATATCGATTTCATCACGATGCATCCCCTAATAATCGGGATAAAAGTTTTATGGCAATTTGTTCGGATAAAAATCGGTTTATCACCGTATTTATAAGTTTTTCTACTTTTATCGAGATCGCTTTTTTTCTACAGTTGTGTTCGTGAATGGATGTTGACTGGTTAAGTACCTATGGAGTGTATTAAAGAACATGTCGCCGTATGGTGAAACAGTATGATGTGGATCTGGATCTGGTTCTTAAGCTGCTGTATGCGTCAGCGTTCGTGTAAAAGTACGATAGACAAGTCGAAAATTGTACGTGTCCAGAAAGATAGTTTAAATTTTGTGAAAATGTTAAAGAATTTAAAATTAAAAAGTTTGTCTAATTTTCAAACTAGTCTTTATTTTAAAATTCAAAGATTTTATTTAATGAAAGGTGAGCGTTTTCTGTGGAAAATCCGCCCCAATAATTTTCAATAATCTATAATCGTGGGGATAGCGGAGGTGCTCCTAATTTGAATGTGAATAATTGTTTTTGATTAGGGTTCAATCACAGCCTAAGAAAGCATTATTTAAGATTGACATGTTCTATTATTTCATTTGTGCTCGTACCTATCGGTCAAGCTTTTTACTTTTTTAGTTTCTATGGTATTTTTCAAAGGGGTAAACAGTTGATTGAAATCAGCCCAAAATCAATTGATTTTCAG